CATAGTTATCCGGATCTCCTCACCCCTGGAGTTTAGGTTATGTCACGCCTCGCGCTTAGAAAACCGGTCTCTCTCGCTACCCGCGAATGGCTCGAGGCGTCTCCAAGGTATCGCCGATGATGTTTAGGGAGGGTATCTAGGGTACCTCTGGGTGTTTCGTATCTCAGGGTTGCTCAGTCTGATTTCGAAACGTCTCTGCCGCATGGTGGCCGGGCTCACGTGCCGCTTCGTGTTTACGCAGAGCTGTCGGATTACTCCAAATTATTCGGGTTACATCATGCCACGTACGCGCGTGCCGCCGCATTCGTGAGCCGATAATCAGATATGATTAGAGACCTGGGTCTCTATCGTCGTACTGTCAGGTTGTGTGCGCGCAGACATTCCGCTTTACGCAAGCGAGTAACCAATAAGGTAGAGATACCCGTCGACACGACCGCGCGCGCGGTTTCTAACGGCCGATACAACGATTCCACAGCGTCTAGCGGTGGTCCGAGGAGCGACATGGACGCGTTCAGATTCACGGATTACGACTGCGTCGGCTTCGACCTGGATAACACCCTGCTGCGTTTCAACGTCACGAATCTGGTGTGCATGGAGTACGAGATGCTGGCCGAGTTCCTGGTCGACAAACGGGGATACAGCGGGGCTCTGCTGAGGCCGCTGTCGGACGACGACCTGGACTTCATGCAGAAGGGGCTGCTGCTGGACCTCGAGAGGGGCAACGTGCTCCGGGTGAGCCCGGACGGCGTGATCCGCCGAGCGTGCCACGGCACGCGTCTGTTGAACGTGGATCAGATAAGGCAGGCGTATCCCGGGCAGAGATGGGACGTCACGGACACCTTCTGCCGCGACTTGATCTCAACCTGGAACGGTCCTCTGTCCTTGAAAGTGAGGAGCCTGTTGGACTACTTCGACATCATGACGAGCGTCGCGTTCGCGCGGGCCGTGGACGCCCTCGACGAAGAGCGCGGATCGCCCTTGGACAGATACAACATCTGGCCCGACCTGCTGGCCGGACTGATGCACATGTTCTCCCGAGAGCACTTCCAGTCGGACAGAGGGATCTTCGGCCACGTGAAGAGAAATCCGGACAAGTATTTGCGGAAATGCTGCTCCACCACGATCTCGTGGTTGAAGGAGGTGAAGAAAAGATCCGCGACCTTCCTTCTCACCGGCTCGAATGCGGACTTTGCGAGTTTCACCGCGAGTTACGCCCTCGGCGAGGACTGGCGGTCGCTCTTCGACGTTGTGGTGTGCTACGCGAAGAAGCCGGGTTTTTTCATTTTCAATCGTCCGTTCTTCGACGTTGTGAACAACAACGAGACCGATATCGTGACTCAGGGCTTGAGACGGGGTGAAATGTACAGTCAGGGAAACTGGAATGATCTGTCAGAATTTCTAGCTCGTATAACGGGAAAGACTAATCAGCGGTGCTTGTATATCGGTGATAATCTCATACAAGACATCTACGTACCAAATGCACTGGCACGTTTCGATACGCTGGCCGTGGTCGAGGAACAAATGTCAGAGGGCATGCTTCATCATGCCCTGACTCATCCGGACGAGAAGGTTCTAAATTCGAAGCTTTGGGGGTCTTACTTTTGCTTGAAAGATTCGACGGTCAACGTGGACTCCATATGGGGCCACATAATAAAGAAACACGCGAAGCTGTGTATACCGAATATCAGTTTGGTAACACAGAGATCGTTAGAGGAACCCATCCCTTGTTTTGACAAGGATGGAAAGTTATATCGCGGATATTATCCTGCTATACCGCTTAGTGTATCAGCCATGTAATGTAGGAATGAAAATGTCAATTACGTTACATCGTTTCTTCGTAAACGAAGAGACAATTACAAATTTTACATTAGAAAAATTTTAGATGTTTAGCTTGTGATATTTTTAAGTATAATGTGTGTCGTACATTTTATTTTAACATTAATGTCGCAATCTCTAATAAAATAGACTCATTTTTTTTATACTTACATTTTACATTTTTATCTAATCTAGGCGTATTATAATTTAAGATACGGATTATACCAGCTATCAAACAACAGTTAAAGCGACTAAGCCGGCCTTCAAGGAATACGGCCGACATGAAACGCACTTTCAAAACGAAACGCGCTCAGCAGAGACAACAGGAGGGCCGTGCGGCTGTAGAACAAATTTTACAGGATAGGAATACAACGAAAGCCGAGACTAGAGAAGATAAATGCGACTCGTAAAAAGTTAATTTATATTTTCTTAATTATTTACCTTACGAATAATAATTAAAGTATTTGCTCACGTGTGATTGATTTTATTGTATAGCCTAAGATTTTTATTTTTCTTAAATGATGTTTACGCTTTAAAACATCACTTTTGATTGCTCAGCATTGTAATTTTTTATATAATCGATAGTTCGATATTTTTATATGAAATTATTATGAAATATAGGTATATTATAAAAATACTCAAATTGTATCATTTTTAAAAACGGATTGGATAATATAAAATATCGTCACACGATTAAATGCATGGGTAATGTATACAACATAGTAATAAATATCCCTTTATTCAGTATAACTGTATAACATAAGAGGAAGGCCATTTTTAGCGAGAAACGCTTTAATAAAAATATAACATATTTGATATAAGATATATATATAAATAGAGAAGACATTCGTTATTTCTTTTCAACAGCAATGGCGATGCCCATTCCCCCTCCTATGCACAAAGTCGCGACACCCTTTTTCTTTCCTGTCCTTTCCAAAATATGTAACAGAGTGACCAATATTCTTGTGCCTGAAACGAATGCAAGATTTTGTCATAAATTTTGCCACAAAATTTCTCTTGAATTCTCTTGAAGAAAGTTCGAGGCATTATTATTACATACCTGACGCGCCAACAGGATGACCTAAGGCGATAGCACCGCCGTTTACATTAACTTTCTCGGGATCTAATTCGAGTTCTTTAATACACACGATCGCTTGAGAGGCGAAGGCCTCATTTAGCTCGTAAATATCCACTTCTTCTTTTGTCCAGTTCGCTTTCTTCAACTGAAATAAGCGTACATTCCCAGTCACATGATTTAACGTCGCGTTTGGGATAAAAAGTGATAAAAAATAAATAAATAAACGTGATGTACTAACGACTAATTTAACAGCATCGATAGGTCCAATGCCCATAATTTTGGGTTCAACTCCGACCTGTGCAAATGCAACAATACTGGCTAACGGCGCGATCCCTCTATTTGCAGCAGTTTCTTCGGACATGAGCACCACGGCAGCCGCACCATCGTTTATACCGGATGCATTGCCGGCAGTAACTGTACCATTCTTTAAAAAAAATACAATAATTAAAATACAGTATGATTAAAGTAAAGTGTGATAAATTTCAAATGTGCTATATTCTACACCCACAGTTGCATATGAAGCTATACAGAAAATTAGTTTCACAAAGTTAAATTTACCGATTCAAATGCTGGTTTTAACTTTGCAAGTTTCTCCACGGTCGTTCCGAATTTCGGATATTCATCTTTATATACAGTGACAGATTCCTTTTTGCTTGTGACGATTACTGGAACAATTTCCTTGTCAAAATGTCCAGCGTCGATAGCAATCTCTGCCTTCAGTTGAGATCTGCTCGCGTAATGATCCTGTTCCTGTCTGCTTACATCGTACTTTTTAGCAACATTCTCGGCTACCAGTGACGGAAATGATAACAAAAGAAAAAATCGCATTAAGTTTGAATTTTTCTGACGTAAGAATTGTAATATTTGTAATATTTTTGTCTTACCTGTCACTCCCATGTGGATATTATTGAAGGCATCTGTTAGACCGTCGTCCAATAGTGTATCAATTGAATTGCAATTTCCAAATTTCACACCAGTCCTGAGATAAAAGGCATGCGGTGCTCTGCTCATATTTTCCTGACCACCGGCCACAATTATCTCGCTTTCCCCTGACTTTATAGCGCAGTAACTAGACATTACGGACCTGTCAAACATGTATTAAATATTCAAGGTGAACTTGTTTGTAATTTTATATATATATATATATATGCATATATACATATATATTTATGGAAATATATGTATACATAATATATGTGTACATTAAGTTTGTATGTATATATTCTGGAAATAAATCATAGACCAGAGAGAAAAACTTACTTTAAACCAGAACCGCACAGCATATTTGTTTGATAAGCAGGTACATGAATAGGTATGCCAGCACGTATTGCTGCTTGTCTTGCAGGATTTTGACCTTCAGTTGCAGTGAGTACCTGGAAAAAAAAAAAGATAATTGAAATGCTCCATACGTATTTAGATATAATTGCACTTGAAAATATAAAAATATTTATTTCATCTAGAATTATATATATAAGTACCTGTCCCATAATAACTTCAGAAACATCTGATCCTTTCAGTCCAGCTCTTGCCAGACTTTCCTTAATAACGATACTTCCCAGCTCTGATGCTTTCAATGAAGATAAGGATCCGCAAAACGACCCTACATTTGTAGAATAGCAAATTTAATTATTACAAGTAATATAAGATAATATAATAAATAATATAAAATAATATTTTATGTTTATAGCATCTTGTTATATATTTTTATAAAATATTTTATATTTATAGCATTTTTTTATATTTTATTTTTAGCATAATTTTTGTTATTGATACCTTATATTTTTACAAGATTTGTTCCACAATTATTATAGGCTTTTATGTATATAAAATCGTATTTCTATATTCTATACTATATTCACAAAAAATATAACCTGACTGAACGCCCAGAAGAGGGCACAAAATTTCTATTCTCGTTTACGGGAACATTGTGCGTAAAAAAATATCTTCGGAATTTACTTCACTGACTCATTCAAATTCAAATTTCAAATCAATTGTTTAGACTCCGATAATTTAACATTGCAAAATCGCTAGACACGGGACTTTAACTAGCCAGCTCCACGTTATCCTCCCTCGCTCATTACCTATGGGTGTCCTAACAGCGGACACTATCACTACGGTGCGATCACTCATTTTTTTCTGGGCCGTAAGGACAAGCTCAACCGAACCGAACCTGCGTAAAAACACACGAAGACTGCCGCGTCTCGACTGCCTAACGGAATTATATTAGCGCTGACGACGTGTACCAGGAGCGGCTGCGTTGGGAAAGTGTGTCATGCCCGAACGTGTACTTGCGCGGAAGAAAATCAGTGAGGATTAAAGGAGAGGGGAGCTTGGCAGCTGTTTCCGACGTGCCCTCGCGACATTTGGGAATTTTGCGAAAAAAAAAATGCGCATATTTTATAAATTTAAATATTGGAATTGCGACGAAAACCGAGCGAAAAAAACGTATGTACATGCGTGTCTGACAGGAAAAAACTGTATGACGCAAATCATACTTGATAATGTTTCGGGAATAATGACTTCAACATTGAACATATTTCGAAGGAAGTGATAACACTTGACTGCTACGTAATAACACGGATGTTTAAATTGCTATTTCGCAACAATCAAATTATGCATTTCAAGCAACAGCTAACAATGAGATATATTTATTAAAATGAACTAAAAATAGATAAAAAATATAATTGATCGAGCATATTTTTACATTTCCATATAAACATTTTGATTTTTTAAAGAATTTTATTGTAGTATTATCAAGTTCGTCAAATTTACTGAGGAAATAATTCCTTGATACCGACGGAATAAACAGACACAATTGTTGTGAATATTTGTTTATTTATCAACCAAAATTGAGGTTCTCTACAAAAAAAAAAAGTGAAATTCTGTGTCATCCCAAACGCGTCCTTCGAAACTCAACTGACAACTGGTATATATAGACATACGGATATTATACTAACAACCAGAAAAATAACATAAGACGGGTCAAAGAATACGAATGAGAGACACGACAAAAGAGTTAGGTTGGATCGCGACGAAATACAATGCACGAGCGTGTATTGTAAAATGCAAATGGAGGCGGTGGAAAAACCGAACTTAAAAGCTTGGAATATCAATGAGAGACCGGGCGAAGGATATCGGAGTCGACAGCCAGGCGACGCGCGTTAGGACAACGACAACGTTGTCGTCGATCGACACGCGACACGATGCACGGCCACGCGGTAAAAACGGCACGTGTCGTCGAATAGGAGTAGACACGGTCCTGCACGGGGAGCAGCCGAACTGACAGATGCCTCCGGCTGCGCGCGGGCAGGTGTCGCTGGCGCGGCGTGTACCGGAGCGCCGCCGTCGAGCGGAGCGGCGGCGACGGGCGGCGACGGCGGCGCTGGTTTGTTTTTACCCAGTGTGCATTGTGGAACGGTGACTGGTGCTAAGATGGCCGACAACAGGGAGGAGATTTCGGAGCTCGTCGAGAAACGAGGTATTTGTCGGCGCGTCGCGCCCCTTGCTCGCCACGATCGCGTCGCGCCGCGGACGCCCAGGGTTGCGGTGGGCGCGTCGCGCCCCCCGCGACGGGTCGTCGTCGCCGTCATCGCGACACGTCCGTCGATGCGACCCGCGACCGCGGCCGCACGTCGACCCGCCGCGCCGTCGGCGCGCGTGCCGTGGACCGTCCGCTGGACGACGATCGCGCGCGCGCGCGCGCGCGCTCGCTCGCGGGGCAAGTCCGCGATTTCGCGCGGGTGATCCGCCGTCCGGGACGTCGCCCACGAGGCCCCGCGACGGCTGTCATCGTCGCCGTCTTGACGTTCGTCCTTCCTCTCGCTGCCGCGAGTCGTGATCGGACGGGGGCCAGGGCGCCTCCGCGCGCGTTTGACAGCGCGAGTTCGATCTCTCGCGGTCGGCTGACCGATCGCGCGCGCGAATACGCGGCTGCACGCGTAATACACGACGAGTAGTAGTAATTTCCCGGTCGGGCCGATTACTCATTAAGGTCACTCGCCGACGGCCTTGCAGCTCGCGTCGCCGCGCCGCGACGACGTACCTGCCGGCCGCGCGCTTTGAGATTACCGTTATCTGTCTCCGTCTGTCTTTCCTCCTGCCTTCGCGATTTCTCTTTTTTTTTTCTTCTTTTTCGTTACCCCTCACTCACGCCGCGCGCTATCTCGTCCCCGCGCCGCGACGATTCGTCATCGCGAATTTAACGCCGGGCTGATTCGCCTTTACACCTACGCGGATGTACTCTCGCCGCGATGTGCTGGTCGTGCGCGCGGATCGGCACGTCAGCCGCGGCGCCGTCGTCGCGGCGCAACGTGCTCTCACATCGGCCGCTTGCTCTTCGCTTCTTCGTCGTCGGATTCGAATCCACGATGACGAATACCACACCGAATTGGATCGTCTCTGCGAAAGCTTAAATAAACTATGTGCACACGCGGCCAGATAACCGAATGCCTTTTCACCGGATACACCTGTTACCTCGCTTGTTTGACACTTGTACCGGTGACTCACATAACACTTTAAATACTGTAGATTCTTTCGTCACGAAATGCTAAAGAGTGTCAAGAGTTCGATCATAGTGTTAATTAGCCAACATTTGTTGGCAGAAATGACTGCGAGATTAATATCAAGTTTAGAATTTTAACTTGAATTAGTTTAAGTTATAAGGATGTTTAATATGTTGAATATTTTGAGGAATGATAACGTATCGCTCTCAAATAAATTTTTGCTTAAGGAAGAGCTTGTTAGACATCGTTGAAAGAACTTCAACGTAATTAGAGGAGATTGTAATTCCGAGATACTTTGTGTGTATATATATATATATATCAGTAGGCGGAATGCTCGTTGATATCGAGTTTCTTAAAAAGTGTTGATTTAAAAATTCTTGAATTTCGTAGGTCGGTATTGAGTTTCTTCATTTTTTAAGACTATGTACGTCAAACTATCGAATCGATTATTGAGTGCCATGTTTTTATATTCTCTTACGTTTTATGTGTAAGAATTATATTGGAATACACGAAACTTCGTGTATAAGATTCAGAAAACATGCTTTGTGGATTGCACAAAGCATTTTTTCGGTATTTTTTTAAATTTTAAAGTCAACACACAAAAGATATTGAGAATGAAATCGTCAGTCGATCTAAATTATACCTAAATATTTTCGAAAAAGGGAAATGTAATTGCATCTGGGAATATTTTATTAATTTTTTTTACACACATTGTTTTAATTTCTAAAAGGTTATATAAAAATATTTACTGATTATTTATGGATAATCCTAATGCTGAAATAGCCGAACAACAGTCAATATCCAGTTAAAATATTAATATTTTTAATATATACATTACCTTTCTCAGATATAATAAAATGTGGAACAGGTCGGCAAGAATAAGTTAGAAAATAATCGCTTAAAATAATTGCTAAGAAGGAAGCCGAGAATTCGAGCGAGCATCGCGCGGCTATTACTTGATATTTTTGATTCAATCCGTTATGTACGCGCAATAAGATTAACTGTAATACGCATCCAACGATGCATCCGTGTCCCGCAAGTGCATGTGCCTTGCTCGCATGCACTCGGTTCGGTGCACATTCGTACGCGATTCATACTCGGATCTCGCCTAGCTTCCTCCTGAGCGAATGTCTACATTTAACGCACTCGCCGTACAGTCCCGACTTACGTCTAAATTACACAACCGCGAGTCTTAAGTGATGCTAATCAATTCGCGCGTTCATCGCGTCGGCATTTCCCAGGCGTGGTTCGGAGACGTCGGATTGACAATTTTGATTTTATCTCGCGAGGAAAATATACCCGCGTCGGAAATGATATTTTAGCGAACAAAGGCATTTTTTTTTTTCGAGCAAATATATCGCGACGATTAAATCCTCGCTTCCTCGGCGGAATTCCTCGGCGAAGGATATTGACTCGACTCACGACCGGCCGTACATAAATCGTAAGGTTATCGTGCAAGAAGTGCGCTTTTGCTTTGCGTGATCGCAACCCAGATTCCCTTATCGCGCGTGCTCTTTGATATCCGTGAGATCTAATCATTCTAATCGATTATATAGGTACCGTGATTTCAGTTTCGCTGCACTATTACACGGTACCTATCAATCAGCAATAATAAACGGTTCAGATTTCGTGGAAGGTACTTTTCTATGATGTAATATTTAACAGGAATTTTTTATAAAGTAGTACATAAAGTTCTTAAAAAAACAAATTAATCTTGCAAATTTTAAATTTTTAATTTCAGAATAATTTACAACTTCACCAATCTTCGTATTATTTTATTTTATAGAATTGTTCTCTCAAAAGTTCTCAAAAGATAAGATTACTTTATAAAATAAAAACACCGAAAAAATTGATGAAGTTGTAAACTATGCTAAAATTAAAAAAAATTGCAAAAAGTACAAATGTTTTAAGTTCTTTTTTAATGATTTACAGCTTGTATATTTTATATACAGCTTGTATATTTTATCTATATTTTAATTTTATTTTTTACACGCGAGTCTCTCAGAGACCAAGCTGAACTCTATGAAATAAAGAATAGAGAAGATTGATGAAGTTGTAAACTATGCTAAAA